CATCAGCGTGTCTATGTAGCTCCGCTCAAAACATGTAGAAGACAAATGACGAAGCTTGTACAAAAGCAGGTGTTGATTGTAGCTCTTCCTACACTTTCAGTTCATTCGCAACATTTACTTTTTATATGTGCTCACATATATTGTTTTAGGTGTTACAAAGATTCTTTTAGTCCTTTATGATTCATGTCCTTGTGATTTGAATAGACATTTCAGATTGCGCGACGATTTCTATTCATCGATCCTAAAAAGAAAGCCATTGCATTTCTAGCGTTCGTTATGGTTTTGTCAATGGTTGGCTCATTTGTCACTCTTGATGACACACTTTACATTGTTCAGGTAAGCAAGCAGCCTCAATGAATGTGCATTGTTTCAAGGGCCGTTTTTGTTGTTGTTGTACAATATGGCATACCCTGGTCATCGCGCAGCCTCTGACCAGGGAAGTCCGCCAAATTACTACGGTACTTTGAATGGAGACCTGGGTAGATCGATAGAGTCTATAAGGTTATTTACAAATATAGATAGCAAAACTGCAACCTGCATTTCACAAGCAACTTATGAGCAGGTAAAGTTTGTAATGGTGCAGTAGGGTGGAGGCTTGGTGGTGATCGAGGCGTCGAACGTCGAACCTTACCACTGAACCACCACGACTCGATTCGACGTATGCGATTCCTCGCTTATGCTTCACAGCTCACCACCAAGCCTCCACCCTACTGCACCATTACAAACTTTACCTGCTCATAAGTTGCTTGTGAAATGCAGGTTGCAGTTTTGCTATCTATATTTGTAAATAACCTTATAGACTCTATCGATCTACCCAGGTCTCCATTCAAAGTTCCATGGTAAACTGGCGGACTTCCTGGTGAGGCTTCCTAATGTCATGTTCATGACAAATTTTTATGTTCTTACAGAAGTATAGTGTTTTCAACCAGTACGGTGTTAAACTCGGATGGATGTGGACATGCTTGATTGTTGGACCTTTTATTTGGTTCTCTTCACGAGCCCATCACAGGTATTTTGATCATTTTTATTTATGGGTGGCAGACGCTGCAGCACCGCGATATAGTCATTAAGGGAAGGACTCGGAAGAACATGTGAGTTTTCGGTTGCGCTTGTTGACTTTTTCGGTTTTCCTTTTCCCATTTACGCTTTACTTTTTCCCCACTACTTCCCTCGTTTGTGTGTATTTTTTTCGTAGAAAAGCGAATTAGCTTTCAAAAACTGAACATAGGGCAGTCGAGGGAATTCAGGAAGGATGGAAGGGGTTCGCATTAGAGAAGAGCGTCTTGTTTGGCGAAATTTTCTCCATCGACACAACGTGCCCTTTTTGTAGGTCACCCAGTGATTAGAAACGCCCTATTAATCTATTTGTAACAATTCCTGAAATATCCGAGAGGGTGTATCTCTATGAGATGAGGATATATGTATTGTTTGCATAGTTTGTGTGACGAATGTGCGCGATAAAGCCAGTGATAGCGTTTGTATTGCGAATGTTTTGACATTTCAAGAAGGAATGCATGTGAACCAATCTGCGGGACGCTCTGCTGTCTGTGTCACATATGTTGCCATTGGAATACCGTAATTTTGATAGGGAATTTCGATGAAAACTTGCCCGATTGACATAGGCTTCGTATTTATTAGGTTGTTCGAAAAGTCCTGCGACACTTTGACCAATTTTTCGGACTAAATTTTCAGTCACTAAAAGACATCTCCAATCTACAAGGTAATCACCACTAAGGACTAGGACTAGTGCCCTTCTTTTGCACAGCTTCTCATTTCCATTCTTATAGAACTACGGCAACTATGATAAGAAGAAGAGGTGGACCTCATTTTTGAGTAGACGTCGATTTTCGGAATTTTTGCCTTCTTAAGGATGGTTAGAGACTGCTAACTTTGATGAATAAGCTGGGTATGGTCGCATTCTCAGATCAAGATCCACGATCTTTTGGTGTGGCCTGATCCTAACATGCGGTCTTCGCATTGCCGAGCGGTAGAGAAAAATTGAGTATTTTTGAAGAATTCAAGCGTGACGTCATCCATGTTGTGAGGTTGGTTAGAGTGGACTGTAGTCCTTACCGTTATGCTAGTATCCAGAGATACCGCTTTGAAGTCCCACCAATAACCTACTGAAATCTTTATCCCATGCACATCTGCTTTTGGCTGTGCAATCTACTTTTCTTTGAGAGATCCTGCGAGGAACATGTGCAAGATGTACGCAAGGACCCCACCACTCTCTACCAACCACAAGATCTCACAAATGTTCCTCCAGTGTGTACAAGGAAAAAAAAACTCAGTCACGGTCATTCGGTATGACTTGTCAGAGGGGTTCAACTCATGAGGCATCCTTCATAAAAAATTTTCCGATAACCGAGACTGCGGAGAAGCATGGCAGTTGTCAGTTAGGTGGAGCCTAGAGAGGTTGCCAACTTACTGGTGGTTACGTTCGGCTGCGCCTCAAGAAGCTTGAGTAAAGGGCCGTCATTCTGTGCTGGTGGCCGACCTATACATTGCCTACTTCCGAGTTGAATAAGTCCAGCCTGGAAGCGCTGATGCAAAAGGAACTCTCTGCTATGGCAAGCGATATCCTTCCTCAAGACAACGTAAGTGTTAGCTTCCTCGACTATGGCGGAGTTGCCCTACAGGAACTCATAATATGGGATAGGTCGAGAAGTACCTCGATCTCTGAGGTATTTTTAAGCTTTGAAAACTTCCACGGAGCCATGATATACCCATTTTCAGAAACCCCAGGAGACAGTCTCCACTAATCAGAGATAAAAACATTCAAAATGATTTTTGGTCTTTTTCTAGAATAGTTCAAACAAAGTGTCGCAGGACTTTTCGAACAACCTAATAGTTTATTTGTTCAGAGAAGGTATGCTCAGACGGGACAGTTACTTTAGGATGTCAGCCCTAGGCAGTTTATTTGAGGTTGCCAACCCTAGGCTTTTATTCCGGGTAGCCAACCCTAGGCTTTTATTGCAGGTAGCCAGCCCTAGGCTTTTATTTCGGGTAGGCCAACCCTAGGCTTTTATTGCAGGTGCAGCCCTAGCGACTGTTTATTTCGGTACCCACCCTAGCCGGTGTTTCGGAGACGTCAACCTCTAGGTCTTTCTCGCGACCACTCCATTGTATAAGTAAATGTAACTTCGAGGTTCATTCAATAAATCCACTGTCGGGTCGGTCTAGGACTATAGATATGGTTTGGCTGCCGTTTTGCTACCTTGTTTGGCTGTTCGCAGACAAAGCAGGAGAAAAAAGGCCCAGGAGAAATTGTAAGGAACTGAAATTGCGGACTACTGTAATGGCGTATAACACAACTTGAGCGTGAGAGAATTCGCAACCGCACCCGGCCGATGCACCATGTCTAAACCCGCTTGTTTGGCTCGTTCGTTCGGGTTTAGCAAATACTACAGGGGCTGCAGGAACTACTTTATTGATATATCAAACAACTACAATACTACGAAGAAGAACTACAATTATCGTTCGCCGTGCATCCTCGATCTCGTTCGTTCGTTTGAGGCCGGGAGAGAGATTTGCTTCGCACTTACCCGCGAGCGGAGGTACGACCCGCAACTCCTCGACGGCCCGCCTCTCCGCTGAGCGCTCCCTGGCCGCAGCTAAAGTGACTCCTCGGTGCCCCCTCCTCACAGTTCTGCTACATTACGGTGTACATCGTGATGACGTCACGACACGAGACAAGTAAGAGATCCAAGTGAAAAAGCGAACACTGGAAGTTTTCGCGGTCAAATCGGGACTGGGTCCCTCTTAACCACGTGAACAATAGCGTTAACGGTGGAGAATGTAGCCCGTTTTTCTGTTTTTTTTCCCCCCTTTCTGGAATTTTGGCCACTTCGGTCCGTGTTGGCAGAAGTTTTGCTCGGCCCCTTCCTAGGATTGCGTTCATCACGAATCTTTGAGGCCCAGTTCTTCTAACGAGCAACAAATACACCATTTCTGAGTATCTTCACGTTACATGGTGCTGCTCCTGCTGCTTTTTTCGAGTGTTCTCAATTTTTTTTTCGTTTAGAAGACAAAGATAAATCCATAATCGATGTTTTACGACTGGCAGTTGGGACATTTTGCTGGTATGCAAGCATATGGCAGTAAGTATTTGGTCTTCTCCTGCATTGTTTAAATTTTGGGTGCTGGTTGGTACTTGTGGTCAAGTCAATAAATTTTCACATGGGCGCAACCGTTTGACAGTGCTATAAGCGCTGTGGTTGAGAGTTTTCTTTCGTTAGGATGTTTCATGTTCGTCTAGGATGTTGTGACTGCGGCTTAATCGTATCGTAAAGTTTTTTGACAGGTCTTGGCTCATCGACTTAGGCGACTGGTCCATAGGAGCTCTCAGCGCTCCTCAAGTTTTGTCCCTTATGAGTACTCTTGCAGATTCCATCGATTGATGCAATGGACCTCTCGCTGTGACCTCAGTATTCGTTACTCTCGGACGATGTGCAAGGAAAAAGGCGGTGTTTGGATTCCAGGTTTTGATATTTCTGGACACTGCTTTCTGTTGATATACAGCATGTTGGTGATGGCAGAAGAGGTTAGTAGAATTATCAAGCGTTCACCTAAAAAAAAACATCTAGCTCAGATATGACGTTTCCTCTCACTCACTCACTCTCTCACTCTCTCTCTCTCTCTCTTCTCTTCTCTCTCCCTTCTCTCTCTCTCTCCCTCTCTCTCTCTTTAACCATTTTTTTCATCTTTCTGTTCAAAGGGTCTGTGAGGATACCTGGGTAGATCGATAGAGTCTATAAGGTTATTTACAAATATAGATAGCAAAACTGCAACCTGCATTTCACAAGCAACTTATGAGCAGGTAAAGTTTGTAATGGTGCAGTAGGGTGGAGGGTCGTATGCGATTCCTTGCTTATGCTTCACAGCTCACCACCAAGCCTCCACCCTACTGCACCATTACAAACTTTACCTGCTCATAAGTTGCTTGTGAAATGCAGGTTGCAGTTTTGCTATATTTGTAAATAACCTTATAGACTCTATCGATCTACCCAGGTCTCCATTCAAAGTTCCATGGTAAGTTGGCGGACTTCCCTGCTAAGCATTCATGAAACCTTGAAAAAATTCTTTCGATCTCATGACTGACTGACGCTGCAGGCTAGCTGCTAAGGTTGAATCATTTTCCAGAGCACTGCTTTCGTTTAAGTTTTAAGCGAAGGTCGAATACTTTGTTGTGGTTGTGGTTACTTAAACAGATGGCATTTCGGAAATATATTATCACCCAAAATACATTGACCCTTGTCTCTTTTTATGGAATGTGAATTGCATTTGGAAATTATGGAATAAACGACGTTTGAGCAAGGAAAGGTGGAAGGGTGGGAGGAAGGGTAGTAGAATATCCGAGATAGAAGGAAAATTCATCTGTCCATTCAAAGGGCGCTAATTTGCAGTTACAATTTCTCAGCTAGCTAGCTTCTCTGTCCTTTCTTGATCTGGGGTAAGCAAAGTTTCTTGTGTAGTTCAACAAAGTCCGAAAAAAGCTATCAAAAAGCGCGAGTATGGCTTGTTCAAATTATTCCCTCCTTAATCTTGAGCCCTTTAGCACTTCCCAGGGTCTAATTTATCATTTCACTAGTTTTTTAGACCTTCATTATCTCACTACT